CCCGTGAGCCTCGCCCCCCGCGTCTCCGTCTACAGCGCGCGCCGCCCGCTGCTCGCGCGCACCCACGTCCAGGGCCGCGTCTACAACTTCCTCGAGCGCCCCAGCGGCTGGAGGTGCTTCGTCTACCACTTCGCCGTGTGAGTATCGCGGGGTGCGCGGGGACACTGTCCTGGAGACACCTGCCGCGGCCCCGACCCCCGCCCGCGCTCCCACCCGAGAGCAGCCCGGAGGGAAGAAAGGGGTTAGTGGGGAAGTCAGAAACAGGACTGTCCCTTGAAGTTCAGGGACGCTGCTGTGGCTGCAGGGGGGCGGCGGGCTGCGGCCCTGCCCGGGCATTGGGGGGCTGGGGGGAAGCCGGCCGGGGAGGGGGTGCTCGGAGCCCAGAAGCTGGCTCCACGCGTCCCTGGAGGGACGGTCCAGGTGTTAATCCTTCTGGGACGCTGCTGGGGGAGCTCGCCCTTGGGTACAGTACGGAGAATTCCCCAAGGTCGCCTGGGACATGAGACTTAGGAGACCCCAAGACTGGAGGGCTCAGTGCTCCCTGGTGCCACGCATTTCAGACCCTCCGGTGCCCAAGCAGCCGCGTGCAGGCAGGGGTCTATCCGGGACAGGGTGGCAGAGTGGTGGTGCTCACTGAGGGGTCAGCGTGGCGTGGGGAACACCCACATTAACCGAACCAAGCTCATGAAACTTGCACAGATGCAGAGAACGGAGGGTGCACGTGGAGGGGACGCATGGGTACGGTTCAGCCGTCAAGCGCAGGCAGCTGTGCCCTGGAACTCAGGGCAGGTAGCAGCCCCACCTGGCCCTCCCTGTTACCAGGTGGCTCCAATTCCCAGTACGGCATGCCTGCATGGGGCAGGGCACTTGGCTTCTCAGGGACAGGGGCACAGGAAGTTGTCTCCCGGAGGGGTCAGGCCACTCTCCTTGCTGCCTGGAGTCCCCCCACCCCCCACGTCCCAGTGACCCTACTTCCTGGCTACCCAGACAGTGGCCTTGATATCGAACCAACCTCTGACCTGTGAGCCTTCGTCCGACTGTCCCCTTGGCTGATTGCCGGGGTCTTCTCTGGGGACTGTGAGGGGGCCTCCCTGTGGCTCCGCATCAGTGATGGAGCTCACTCTGGCTGCCTTGGCTTGGCCTAGGGCCAGTAGAGAACTGGCTGGAGGGTGTCCAGGGGCTTGTTTAGTCCCACTGGTAGCTACCTCCTGGGCTCCCAGGGGCGCAGCAGGAGCCAAGACCTGACCGGCTTGAAGGATCCTCTCAACTGGGTGGGGTGGTGACCCCTGGGTGGCTGCCCTGCTTGCTCAATGAGGCAGGGCCTTCCACGGCAGGAAGGGCAGGTCTCAGGGGCCACTGTCCACAGACACATGGTTGGGCCATGCTCTTAAAGACTTCTCCACCCAACGCCTGCCTCCTGAGGTGTCGGGGGTGCTGGAGCTGTGGCCGTTGCTGGGCTATGGGAGAGGAAGGCACTGCCCGTGGCTGCAGGAGGAGTGGCCTGTCTTGGGGTTTAGGGAATGTCCGTGTGCAGTGGCCCCAGGAGACCCCACCACAGTCTGATGCCACCGTGCTAATGTCTGGCAGACGCCAGGCTCATGGGTGCCGCTGTGCAGATGCCTCCTGACACTGGCTTGCTGGTCCTCAGACTCCCTGAGATGCCCAGAGACGGGGTGGGCCCCACAGCCAGATGCTGGAGAGGACCTTGCCCAGCCGCCTCTCCGTCCAGGAGCCCTGCCTGCCAAGGCGAGGTGCTTCCAGATGCCCTGCTCAATCGCATCCGGGGGTGGCAGGCCGGCGGCAGTGTCGCCGGGCTCTGGCTGTGGCGGGTGCACGGAGGAAGAGGGCTCGCCGCACCCCAGAGGAAGTCTCTGCTTACACTTGTGTTTTCTTCCTGATTCTGATTGTTCAGCTCTCGGAAGTTTGCTCGGTAGAGTCTGCCTTCGCCTGGCCTCCCCAGGAGCTGGCAGGGCAGAGGCCGAAAGGCTTCTCTGCCACTCTGCAGCCAGGAAAGGGATGCTTCTCTGAGGGCGTGTGACCTTGGTCCAGTCTTCTCCGGCCCTGGGCCCTGTCCCTGTAAGTGGTGTGCTTGGCCTTGGAGAGTGGTTGTGAACCCCACTTTTTGTGGGGTGGGGCTGGAGGTGGACCCTAGCTAGGCAGGGTGTGTGGCTTGTCTGGTGCCCGGGAAGGTGCCCCATCGCCCCCAGTGTCTCTAGGAGTCAGCAGGGCCTCAGACACCCTGAACTGGCCAATCTTTTGAGGGAGACCTGGCTTTAGGGCCGGGATCACAGAGCAGCTGGAGCCTGGCCACAGCTTTGTGAAATGTGTGGACGGTGCCGGTCAGGCCCTGGTGTTGCTCTAAGAAGCATCCGAGATGGCGGCAGGGAGGGCTCTGTCCTTGGCGAGGCAGACTGCGAAACGTGAAGGACTACAGTTTCTGGGCTTGCGGGGACCAAGCCTGGCCTTGAGGGCTGGGCTGGCTGTGTGGGCAGTGCAGTGGGCGGGCAGGGATCGAGGTGACAGCCAGTATGCCACCGTCCGTGCAGGCCTGGGGCACACTCTCCTACGTGCGGCTGGGGAAGCAGGCCAGGATAGCCCATCCCCCTCCTTGGGGAATCCCTGTTCTGCTGAGGACAGTGGTCCTTCCTGTGTTCCTTCTGTCCTTCCCTGGCTGTCCGGAGCCAGGGAGCAGGACACAGCACCCGGCCACCGCCCTTGCCTGCTTGGGCTTCCCGCCCCCCGTTACTCCCAGCCCTTTTTAGTGGCCTTAAGTGTTCCCACTGTGGGGCAGCTCCCACCCTAGCTGAGGATATGGTGGGGTCCAGGCAGCCCCCACTGGACCTAGGAGTCCTAGCCACCTTGCTGATGTGCCTTGCCCAGGGTCAGAGGCATCCAGCCAGCATCTGCAGTGGTTGCTGAGACGCTTGGAGATTCTGGTTGTGGCTGCAAAGAGGGACTTGAGGGAGGGGGCCCAGAGCAAGTGGAGACTGTCTCCCAGGCTCTGGAACCGAAACCTGGCTCGGCACCTTCTGTCCCGCCCTCCCACAGCCCTGTTCTTCCCAGGTCCCCAAGAACTTTCCGCTGGCTTTTGGCGGCAACTTCACAGGGTGTGTTAATCATTGACGGAGCTAGAAGCTGGTCCTCGTGGTTTACTGGGCTGATCTGGCCCACCTTGCCAAGAGCAGAGGCCAAGCGGAGGCTGGTTTCAGGCCATATCACCCAGACCCTGCAGCTCCCAGTGCCACCCGCTCCCAGGCTCTGGCATTAGAGTCCAAAGCAGCCACCACTCAGTTCTGTGGACCTGAGAAGGGACACCAGTGGGAGGTCAGAGTATGAAAGGCCACAGCTGGCCACGAGGCTGGGCGTGGAGGGGGATGGGGCTGTCGGGTGGGCCCTGATCCCGTAGGACTGGTGTCATTATACGGAGAGGAGATCAGGACACAGACACTGAAAGAGGGACGACCACGTGAGGACACAGGAAGAAGACGCCACCTACAAGCCAAGGAGATAGGTCTCAGCAGGAACCAGTCCTGCGACGCCTGGATCTTGGATTTCCAGCCTCCAGAATGTGGGCGAATAAGTGTCTGTCGTTTGAGTTCCTGTTGCTGGCACACCTGGGTTCAGCATCCCCGAACACTAATGACCCTCCCTGTGTGGCGGGGCCACCCTGTGCAAGGTCAGGGTGACAGCCTGGGAGCAGCATGTCAGCTACTGCTGTGACCTCTGCCTTGTGCTGTCCTGGCTGCTCCAGAGCTGGAAGCAAGCCACATCAGGCTAGGCAGCAGCAGGACAGCAGAGTCCGGGCAGGCAGGCACGTCATACCCACCCACGGGTGCTGCAGTGACAGGGCCGGGTCTCAACTCTAGAGGCACCAGCTACCTGGAGTCCTCATCCTGCTGCAGAAGCCAGCTCCCGAGCGTGCTCCTCCTGCGCTCCGTGTCCTCGCTGGTGTGATTGGAGCTCCTCGGCCAAGGCCCCGGCTGCGGTTAACAGGAAGGTCTGATCCAGCTGGTCTGGGGAGCCTGAGTGTCCGCTTCCCTCTCCAGGTCGGGGTATGGGGAACGCTGCTGCTCTGTGGACCTCACTCTGAGTGGCTGGGGTGCAGACGTCTGGGTTCTTGTCTTGAGCCCCTGCTTGGCCGGCTCCTGAAGGCAGGGCCCCACCTGTCCCCTCTGCATGCCAGCCTCCTTGTCTGGGAGACGGACCGGCTTTTGGCTCCTGCAGCACCTTGCTGCTGATTCCAGACCCTGTCCACCGATGAGAAGGATGGGGCTAGGACAATCTCGCCTGGGGCTCCTGTGAGATGGGAGATGGCTTTCAAGGATGGTGGTCTGTGAGGAGGACATCCCAGGCCCAGGACGAGCCAAGGGGACATGTGCCCGAGGTGAGACGTGGGTGTGTGGTGGGTGCTGGGAGATGCTGCAGAGAAGCTCCTGGAAGCCGGCACGTGCTGGTGCCTGGTCTTTGCTACTGGAGGAAGAATAAGGTGGTGAATGTTACCGCTCTGGGCCTCGTACGTGGTTACAGGACTGGGGAGTGGCGGGGTCTGGCTTCGCTCTGGGGAAGCACCTGGGAGGGGGTGGCGGGGCATGGAGGAGCTGCCACACTGAGGCTGTAGCCGAAGTGCCACCACAGTGCCTCGGCCGTCCAGTACAGGATTGGTGTCACCCCTGCCCCCAGCCCTCCTGCATGGCACTCTGCTCCCACCATCAGGTCCCTGAGCACGTTGGCGAGCCCCTTGTGCCCGTACCCCACCTCCTGGTGGGTAGTTGTTTCTCTCCATGGCTGTGCCTGGCACCGTGAGAAGGCCCGGATCTCACAGACAGCAAGATTGTCCTGGCTGGTGGGGTGTGAGGAGGAGCCTGCTCGTTGCTCTGCTGTCGGCTGGGTGACCACAGTGACCTGAACCCAGGGAGCCGTTTCTACATGTGGCTTCTGTATGTGTGACAGGACTTGGCCTCTGAGGACATTTGTGTTCCACTGCCCGCGTGGGTGCTGGCTGGAGAGGGTGGTGGGCAGGGGCAGCCTGGCCCTACCCCAGGGCCTCGGTGAAGGGTGGAAGGAGACAGGACAGGGCCTGGGTCAGGAGCAGGGTTCCCTGCCCTTGCCAAGTGCCTGCCAAGAGCGGCTGTGTAGA